TAAATTGAGGTCTATAAATATGAATCTTTCATTCAAAATGAATGAAGGCTAGAGATACATTCTTGAGGCAAAATTACAAATCAAAATACATTGAATCCTCAATATTTGTATCTCAATTTGGGAATTGAAGTTTGAAGAAAACAATTGGCCGAGAGATTTACAATCATTCAAGAAGAGTTTAAAGATCCAATGCTCGGAATTGGGTGCCTAAGAATAACAATGGCTTGAATTCTTTTATTCTATTATCATAATTAATTCTTTTCCTAACTACTTAATCCCAAAAGCTCTACGCAAACTGGGTTAGTTAGATTAATTTATATTAGTTTAAGATAAATTAATCACAAAAATAAGATCTTGTTTATTAAATAGGCCACCACATTAATTCAGAATGAAACTATAATAATATACAAATTGATAGTAAGTTTGTTTTATCGTTGTCGGGGACTAATTTAATTATTTTACTTATTTTCAATTCTATCTTTTATTTAAATTATTTCTATTTTTATTGTTATTGTTATTTTTCATTTTTTAGTCGATCTACTTGTTTCTCTTGGTTTCATGGACAGATAACAAAAGAAAGTAAGAGTACGAACATACCATCGAAATAAATGATGAACAATACAATCTATATGAACGAACATACCATCGAAGTTGGGAGCAACAACAAAATCCAGATATCTTTTTTCTTGTTATTTTTCGTGAATGAAAATTCCAAATATATGATTGTAGCCATAATGTTCACACATAAGAACAGGTCAGGGTACATTCAAATGCAGTATTCAATTTAGTCCAAACATTATTAATGTCTTCAGACTTTTCTTCCAACACACGAGATATAAGGAAACATAGAAATAAACAAATGGAGTTGAATATCATACCATACCCACCTTATGCAAAAAAGTGGTTAGTATTTAAACAGTTTACTATTTACTATAATGTTTCATTTTCTGTTTAATTTGATTTTACATTTACGGTACTAATTCAATCTAACATAAAACTATTTCTTCTATAGGCCAAATTGTGCAATTTTTTTACTCAAATACATAGAATGTTTCATTATAGGATATCCAATGGAATCAATTTCATTAGACCGAATGAATATATACAGACGAAGGATTGTAGTAGATATTTGTTATAATGAATATTTTCTTCGTCCCATGTGTTTGTCCTGACACTAATGGATAACAATCAGAATAGTGGAAAATACGTCGATTGGAACCGCATGTTCAGACAAGAGTATAGCCGGATAAGTTAGAGGCAGTTAGTTTGTTGATTGTATTCTCTATTTATATACAACATTGTGTACTGTACAAACTGTAATTTTCATTCTTCTCGAAGCAGTACAATTGAATTCCTTTTTTTTTTTGTGTCAATTCCTCTGTTCTACAATATGGTCAGAAGTACAAACATAAACAATAGTACATATTTCAAAAATTTTCCTTATAGTACTACTGTTATACAACCTGGTTGTAATTTGGATACATGATGAAATTATCTGTGCGATTTTCATATGTTTTAGTTGTTGCAAAGTTTATTAATATTGTTTGATCAGAATCAAATAAAGTTTGTAACCGGGAATACAAGAAGATAATCGCACCAGAACATATACTCAAGGCTTTACAACTTTCTAACCATAATCCTATATTTCTCCTTTGATTCCCTTATTATATCCTTCATGTTCATCATCACATCAACAAAGCCATCAACCAAGATCAATTCCATCATTTCTATCTTGTATATTTTAAAAGTACAAAATACATTTAAAAATAACATTAACCAAATTTACAAATACTTATTTTTGACACTAATCAACTGACGTGCAACGCTTGTTTCCTTCACTAGTATATTAAAAAGGTTGGTGAAGATGTTTATAAATAGGTATTTTCACATTTATCTATTGATGTTACTTGCACGAGAAAGAAGATATCAAATCAATTAAACTAATTTCTAGGTCAACGTCCCAAAATTATGTCCCTGTTTAACAACCATTTTTATTATTCTTATTTTTGTAAAGAATAATTATTTGAATTGTAATTTTTTTGAAAAATGTATCATTAGACGTAGGAAAAAATTTTGAATTTATATAAAGAATAATTTATTGTTGAAAATGGGTATGCGAAAAAAGAGTTTTTGAAAGAATTGTTGAAAAAATGAGTAAAATAATGTTTTACATAATGATAAGATGTCAAAATATATGTAGAGATGTTATTTGATTACTAAGATTTTGATCCAATTAAATCTCGACACATCATTTATTGGTAAACCATTATGAGCTTGTTTGAGCCCATTTTTCTCCGAAATGTATTTTGGAATAGTATTTTGATGTTGAATGTGTGATTAAAAAAGAAAAGAAAAAAAAAGAGTTTGCGAGTAATATTATTTTATTGAAAAATGTGTAGTTGAAAATAAAAGAGATAAAGAAAATAATGGAAACCAAACAAAGACTATGTAAGTTCTTATGTACATGTAATACAATCGCTACTATTTATTCTTTATTCATATTCATAGTTCTTTATTTTTGTCAACTCTTGTTCAAATTTTGGTCGAATAATAGTATGAGTGGTTGAATCAAATAATTAATTTAAATACAAGAAATATAAGATAAATTGAATATTACACAATACAAAACTGAGAGTAAGTATTGTGAGTTAACTTGAAAATATTCCAGTCCAAGATAATTTCTTTAATTATGTAATTTAATTTTCATTAGAGTTAAATTTATAAATTTTAGGTGTTTATCTATTTAATTAGTTAAATTTATAAATTTTAGGTGTTTATCTATTTAATTAAGCCATTCTATTTAAGTATGGGTCAAACTTGTCATTTGCAGTATAATAGGGACTATATTTACAATTTTAATTAGAGATTGACTAGGTTTTAACGGTCGCTTTGGCTCCGGTATGTTTTAGCCT